AGTCTGGCAAGAAGACACATCCTTGTTTTACACCTCTTTCTATTTTTGTATCTTCTGAACTCATTTTCTGTCCATATGCAGGCAGTTTGCTGCCAGTATAGATATTTGATTATTCTAAATAATATTTAGAATAAATATTTCCCAAATATGTCAAGGTTACTGAGCAGCTCTAACAGATCTTTGTGATGTATCTTGTCAAATGCCTTTGCGCAATCTATAAAACACAGGATAGCTATACTGGTGCAATAACTAAGTTATACCTATCCTGGATGGGAAGTGAGAAGTTTATTTTAATTATGCAGATATCTAAGGTTCATTGTCTTGTAACTGATCTTATTTGAAAAGACCACATTTGTTCACAAGAATAGATAAATATTAAAAAAAAACAAGAAAAAGAAGTAAACTAAAATAAATGGTGCAGATCTAATTTATTGAAGTATATTAGAAATAGTTTATATAATAAGACTTTATCCATCTTGTATTTTTTATTGAGACTATCATTTTCATCATTGCTGTGACTATGAGTTATCTAAAATAATAAATAAAATGCAATGCTCCTTTGAAATACAATGCAAAAATAATCAAGTGGAAATGTATGCATCTTCATGGTTTAATAAATTTAAAGATTTAATCCATTGATTCTGGATATTCTAAAATAGGCTTGACCTTGGTAGCTTATGTAATTTTCATTTTTTTTTTTTTTTTTTTTTTTTTTAATATAATTATTGATTTCCTCCTGAGTCAGAGTACAGATATACATGACTCAAATATAAATGCATTTTTTCTGAAATTTACATTTCTTCAAGTATTTTTAGTTGAAGTTACAAATCTATGCTCAACCTAGAATTCAAATTTGAAAATGAGTTGGATGATTATCCTTTTCTTTGTTTCTGTTGTCCATGCTTTCAATAAGAATTTTAATATTTTTCTCTAGTTTGGGCATTTATAAATCACTACTTTGTTTAGTATATACCTCTTCTTCACAATTAGGAAATAAAAGCATGCCAAACACTATTTAGGGGAAGGGAAAAAAAGCAATGACAAGAGGCATTAATCTGAAAAACTTGGACATCATGAATCATCTTACAAATAAATATACAGTCGTAGCAAATTCAGAATAAGAGAACTGTTTGCTATAAATTTATCAATGCAAATGTATGATCAATATAGGTGTCAGTTTGTCAGAAAATCAATTTGCATTTTAAAATTCAATCCTTTCATTTTGCATTGAAATCCAGAAGGCCATTTTCAGATGATTTTGATTGGTTTAATAAAAGGGCATATTATACCTACATATTCAAATCAGACTTGAATAAAGGAGATTTTTTTTTTTTTTTTTTTTTTTTTTTAAATAAGGCTACAAAAGAGATACTAAATATTTTGGAATTTAGTTGTATCCAAGATTCTTCCTGCCTTCCTTCACTATTTTGGGATTGTACATAAGTTGGCTGGCAGCTGTGCCCAGGTGGGCCCAGATGATGCCAACTCATTTGACTATAAATTAAACAGGAAACAGAAAAATAAACCTAAGCTCAATTGGGTGTGGCTCTAATTGTGGCACGCTGCATTTATCCCAAAACAGGCAACTAAGAAAGTAAACTTTTTCTTGTTCCCTTGATATGTTTTCTCTTTTCAAAGCATATTATTTAATGAATTATTTTAATTGAAGCATATTTTAATAAATGCCTTTCTATATGAAATAAAAATTTATATTTTAGCTTGCTCATAAACAAGAGAAATTAATACTTCAATCTGTATTTATGCTAAGAAACAAATTGTCAGACTTATTCAGTTTTCCTTTACATTAGAGATTTACATTGCCTAAAAATGAGTTGACATATGAATAAATGTGTGCGCATGTGCAAAAACAAATTCACTTGTGATCGTTTCTTTCTCATTAAATATATCACGTCATAGACCACACACATTGTTTTACTTCTAAACCTCTATTCTATTTACTTTCACATTTGAAACTATTTTTTGGTGATATTAAGGTTCTATACTTCTGTTATTGACTGATGTTAGCATAAAATTATTAAAAAGTTGGTTGTGTGATTCATCAAAATAAAATACCTTGAAAGTTGCAATCTTTGCCAAAGCTATCAATGTTGATCTGTAGATGTTTAAAAAAAAACAACAAAAGGCAATGGTTAATAAATAGTCAATTTAACAAAAAAAAAATATATAAAAAATGATGACTTTCTAAAGCATTCCAAATTTTTCAAAAGGATTGTATTACTTTTTAATGTTAAACTTAGTAACACATCTGTACCACAAATTTTCTACTTTTCTTTCTAATGCAATCTAAAATGGTTTAAGAATCTTCGAACAAAGGTTCTTACAGTTGGATGATCGTTGACTTCATTTATATCCTTTTATAACTTGATAAGTTTCTGGTTTTGATCAATGGAAAACAATGATCTTGTGTATTGTAATTCTTTTCTTTTTTTTTTCTAAATAATTGATATTTTTTGTCTAGATTCTTCTTATGAAGTTTCTAATTATTTATTCTTTTAACTTTTATATTTTACCAAATGCTGAAATTTTGTGCTGAGCTGTGTTTTGATATATGCATTACTTTTTATGTTTGTAAAACAATACATGGGTAGAAAATGAATATCTATAATAGTAAATGTTTTTAGATTTTTTTCTTTTTCACAGTGGATAAATTTATTTTTCTGCATTGTTTTATAGGTCGGTGAGGTAACTGACATTCATCCTTAGTACCCCTACCTCTTTGTTATTTAATGTATAATCTAATTGACTCCAATTCTTGAATGACCCTTAAATAACTTTTTGTTTACTAAGCTGCTGTGAGGTTTTTCTTTGCTCTTCTCTAGTCAACTTGAAGCAAATGTTTTAAAAAGTGATTACGCTTGTCATCAACTGACTTAAATGCTGTTATTGTTCACCCTACTTTTTTTTACTGTGCCTTGATTGATTGCTTTGGCTAGTGACCAACAATTAGCTGCTTGGTCATTAAATTTAACATCATTTTCTCTACCTCTTGATACTGGTTCATGCTATAGTTTAGTCATTTAGAGATGAGAACTGGGGATTTTGTTTATTGGTAAATTTGAAATAAATGTGAAGCATTGACTTTTACTGAAAGATGTAAAAAAAAAACAAAAAAAAAACAAACTTTTTTCAACCCCTCTCCATTGATTACATATCAAATACTATAGTGAAAATAACCATGGTAGGTTATAGACATCCATCAGCCCTTATATATATTATATATTAGGCAACTAACTTAGAGAATGGAACCTGCAAATCAAATTGAAATGAGTATTTTCATATAAAACAAATGCTTTGAATTCACTATCTTTCTGAAGAAGTAATATTTTGATTGATCAACAAGAGTTGTTTTATTGTCAAGTATAATCAACTTTAGACTTCATTACCCTAATCTCTTGTAAAACAATTTAAATGAATTTGTTTAACTGTTTAGTCATTCTAGTTTTTCAAATTTGCATCATGTTAATTCTCCGAGATTTGCTTCAACTTCAAATCTGGTAACTCTTTGATATATTTACATGTGCACATTATATGACCCTCAGTTATAGGACCCATGTTTGAATTAAGATTTTACATAGTCTTCTATAAAGTCAGTTTAGCACAAACGAGTATGGATTAGTAGATATATTAAATTTGAGGTGTTCATTTGTGAATTATCATGATTGTTTTCTATTATAAATGGACCAAGGTTTATCTTCTCATCAGATAAGGCTAAGCGCTTTGCAAATAAGTCCACATTAAACAAGGATCATCACCTATTTCACTTCTAATTTCTCATGGAGCACAAACTTTGTGATATCTATATCTTGACTCGGGAAATTTCCAGACTTATTGAAATTCGTAGCTCTATTGGTCTGGATATAATTCCTGTGATTGTTCTGAAGAACCTTAGCCCAGAGGCATGAGCCAATCATGGCAAAGTTGTTTAACTGTTGTCAGGAGAAATGATTCCCAAGTCTAGGTATCATCTATAGGGTCTATTTACAAAGATGCAGCTGAGCACTTATGCTTGTCACAATATCACCCATCAACAAACTTTTTGAGTCCATCATCAACAAGAAAGTTGTTGATCATGTCAGCAGAAACAACCTCCTGACCAACAGCATGGATTTTGCTCTTTTAGGTCCACGGCTGTCTTAACTATCATTATACATAGAACCCATGAAATGCATGATAAATTAGTGATTACTTTAGATATCTCAAAGACCTTTGGCAAAGCTGCTATACAAACTCTCTAGCTGGAAGAGTTTTCTCAATTATAAATTCTTTTCAATCAGGTATATGAAGGTTGTTAGAGGACTGGACTGGCTTGTATCATTTGATACCTCTAAAACCAAGGTAATAAGCATGTCATTGTCTCCAAGCAGACCCTAAATTTTCTTTGGTCTTGATGAATCCTTGTACTCTCATTGTGTCTTGACATTAATGTCTATTGGGGCTCAAGCTCATTCCAGACCAATTAGAACTTCCATGTATGATCCATTGCTAAAGATGCTGGAAAAATGGTCAGTACCTTGTACAGCTCCAGAAAAATTAGGATTCCTGTCATGATCGATCTTTGCAAGAGTCAGATCATACCAAAAATGGAGTATTTCTGTCTTATCTGGATTGGAGCTGCTAAATCCTTACTTTCCAGTCTTGATAGAGTTCAAAAGTGATTATGCAGCCTTGTGGGTAATGAATTATTTTCTACTCTGAATCCTATTTCCCACTGATGAAATGTGGCTCTTTCATGTTTACAGATGTTTAAAATATTTACCAAACTTGGGCTTATATCAATAACAATTTGCTATGATAGAATGTTGGGAATGCTTTATTCAAATCTAAGGAAATATTTGACTGAATTCAGTTACAGTTAAAAAATATCATATATCTAATATTTTGCCAAAGATGCACTGAAAAATGTGAATGATTTATGTAAAGTGTTTTGATAAAAGTTGGTCCTTAATGAAAACCTGATTTAAAATTATTTATTACTTCAGATAATGACAAAATGTTCAAACTTAGTAAGAAATTGATGATGCTGGTGACTGGGGAACCTGGTGATACAGTCCAGTTTGCAGAATATATTGCCAAGAATATTCAGCTTTATAAAATGAGGAATGGTAAGTATTTGTCATTATTTGTTGTCATATGTTAATGCAAAAAGACTTTGAATAATGTCCTGATCCAAATTGAATGCTAAAATCAGTTGTGCTAAATCAACAAATTTCTGAAATATATGACCGATTACCAATATTTCAGCCACTTGCTTGGTCATCAAAGTCAAAACCAAGGAATGTATTCCGTGAAGTCTTGATTACTTGAGTCGCTTTAAAATAATCTCTATTAACCTGCTTATAAATCATTACAGTGAAGTGATTATTGCCAAATTATTATTTGACTTTTACATGTTTTTAAAACACAATTTTAATAATAATAATTATTATTATTATTATTTTTTATTTTTTTATTTTAAGGTTAAGTGAATATATTTATCAGATTGGTTATTTAATTCCTTTTCGAAGTTGTGCTGCTGGAGTACAGCACATTCAGTAAAACTATTTAAACATAGTGAATAAAGGGCAGATAGCTGCTTTCAGGTTAGAAATTGGGACATAAAATAGAGCAAAAATCTAATCTATTGTTAAAGTTTGTTACTTTAAAATATTTGAATACCCTCTCCCAGCCAAAAGAAAAAAAAAACCCACAAATACTAATTAGCCTTGCAAATAATTATATATGCAATTCCTTTTAATATAAAAGAAAAACCTTTTATCCAATAAGTTTCAGGAGTTAGTAATAAATCCCTATTTTTAGGTTTGACATTTATGTATTCTGACACTGCTAAAGCTGTCTTGATGTTAGAGGATAAAAAAATCCATCTGATACCATTTTGATAGCTCATCATTAACACTAATCTTGTGTAATTTAGTGATATATTGTTTGGTAAGTATCAGGCTCAGCTTTGATTCTGAACTATGACTGTGAAACAAATATCCACTGGTCAAGATCCTTGGTTAATCAAAATTAACTTTCTCTGATGTCACTAATGAGCATAGGGAACCCTATAAATAGAAGTCTTCATTATTAGGTATTAGCATTTTTACACCTACAAGAAAGTTTTGCTCTGTATGCTAATGATGATGTGTGAGAGAGATCTTAAGTGCCCCTATATGGTTCCACATATTAAAGAACAAAATACCTTATGTATATTCGTGATCAGTGAGGAGAAAAATTGGGAAATTCTAAATTTTGATACACATGCAACTGTAATAAAATTATACTATTGTTTTACTTGTGCTCAAAGGATGGAATTACTGTTGATTTTGAAATCATTATTTTGAGCCAGATACATAAATTCTTATTAAATGTTATCTATCCTTCCTTGTCTACTGTTCTGGTCTCCGATCACAAAATGACAATATGAGGAAATTCCAATTGACAAAAGATATTAATGAAATGACTAACAGACCATAGATTCACTGAAATCTGATGACAAAAGCCACAGGACATAAATATTAATGTTGCTGCATCTGGCAAAAATCAAAACCACACAGCAGTTCATGAAGATATTGACAGTAATGATAATGCAATGACTGTTAATGATGAATTTGTTGAAGTGGGACAGAAGCAGTAATGGTTTCATTTCTCATGATGGTTGCTGTCTTATTTGGTAAACTGAGCAAACATATATAAGACCAGCATGTTATTTTATTTGGCACTCTTTGAGGATATTAAAAAATAATAGCTGTTTAATTTGATAGGAAAATTATAACTGTCAGTTAAATTAGTGTTTGAAGGCTTTTTACCTAATGCATGAGAGAGACTTGTAATTAAATGAATTACAGTATTGAAAGATCCTAGTTGCTGCTTGCTTTTATGAAAATCCAATAGCAACAAATATCAAAATCTGATTGGTTAAAAAGATTTGTTTTAGTATTAAGAAAAATAAATGCTTTCATGATTTTAATGAAAATTTACTTTTGTCTTTTCATAGTAATGAAGATAACCGTTTTCTTTCTTCTTTTTTTTTTTTTTTTTTTTTTATTGTAAAGCTCAAAATCCCTTTTAAAAATAAAACTTGTAACAAACTTACTTTATAATATTAATTTATTTTTAGTCAATCATTTATGTTCAAAAAAACTTGTAATGATAGTAAAAATAACTGAGTTAAAAAAATTTCTGAATTTTATTCATGTATTAAAAATATGTCTAGTACTTTGTTTTTATTTTGGGTATTTACACAAAAGAAAACTAAAAGTATGACTTGGCAATATTGACATTATTAATTTTGCTATTGACAAACTATTCATAAATATATTGAAAATATAGACAAGTTTGATCAGCTGAGAATTGATCACATGTAAAACTTTAAATTCATAAAGCTTACCAATACTTTAGGTAAATTTCAATTTTAAATCCAGCATTCATACAATCTGTTTAGAAATTGAGAAAACTGAAAATGATTGATTTTTGTTTATTGGATTAAGTGTTTTGTACTCTGAAGATTAATGTATAAGTAAATGAACTGCAGATCTACTTCTAAAGTGATTTGTTCTATGATTAATAGTTAGATGAGTTCAGTTTTGTAACCAAATCTCATTTCTCAGTATCCAGCAATTATAAAAGCACTTGGAATTTCATACTTTTCTTTAATTCTAATGCAGAAGAGTTTTCTAAAAGATTCTCTGAAATCTGTTGAGAGATTCCTTGCTTATGTCAAGAAAAAGTATAATTAATTGGAGCAAAACTGGGTGATAAGTATTCTAAGATCCCAATGGGTGCTGCAAAGACTTCTACAAAATTTATTTATTTTTTTTGTAAATGTCATAAAGGAACCAGCAGAGAATATAATCTGGATAGACAAAAAATTTTAATCCTAGCTAACCTGGATACTATATATGCTTTCTCTTTTTATTGGATAGGATACAGAATATATCTTCATTATCAGTATAGCACATCAATTCTGATACTCTTAAGCCTCTATGATAGGCTACTTTCACCATTGATAAGTTTGATTTGTATGTTCCATGAATGTAGCTTTCTGCTATACTTAGTTTAATACTAACAAATTAAGCAATATTGAGCATTGTGTAGCTGTCAATTATTAGATTTATTTAAGAATCTATAAGTTTTTATATGTTGCTTCTATTTGGAAGACTTCTACAAATCCTTCAAGTATATACAAAACTAAAGACTGGAGTTGTGGGTGGGAAGTTTTGATTTTAATTGAAAAAAAAATTGAAATTGTTTTCATATTAATTTATATTCAGGTTATGAACTGAGTCCTACTGCAGCTTCACATTTTACCAGAAAGAATTTGGCAGATTATTTGAGAACTTATGTAAGTAGAATTTATTTTTTATAGTATTGGAGTAGTGAATAGAAATGTTGAATGTCAGCAGGAAAAAAAACTCACTTTTGTAATTAATGTTTCTTAGGCTTCTATAAAAAAAATTAAAAAAAATATCTATGGCATAAACATGCCAGATTTGTTTTTTTTTTTTTTTTTTTTTTTTAAAGTGCCTTACCATGTACACTGATGTGCCAAAAATTATGGGATAAATGCCTTGTGTAAAAATCCTCCAGCCCAGTAAAGTGAGCAACTCAGTCTGGCATCAATTCTACAAATGAACAGAAGACCTCTGGACAAATGCTGAACCATGCCATCTTGATAGCTGTCCACAGCTCCCTGATATTTGTAGCTGCAAGTCTTTACTGTATGCAAATAGATCACTCCGCCACGTCCCCCAAATTCTTATTTGGGCTCATGTTTAGTGGTGACTGCAACATTTGTCAAGTCTTCAAATGCTCAACAAACTAATTCTGAACTTGAACCCACAGACACACAGTTATGTGCCATGCTTGATACACGCTTAGGTGATCATGTATCTTTCGATACATGACTGACGAGGCAGGTTTTTTCCCCCACAGTAGGTTGCCATTACTTTCTGTGGTAGACCAGTTGCCATCCAAGGCTATAGAACCCGGTCTGTCCTGCTATTTACCCATAGCTTGGGGGTGGGGAGAAGAAAAGGATTCATACCTTCCCCAAGGGTATTAGCACATAAGTGAATGCAATGGATTTGATTGGAATTTGAACTTGGCCCTCTGATTCCTCAATCCATTACTCCACCATAAACCCACAGACAGGTATGCCTTCAAATACACATAACACTGACAAGTCTTCCCACAATTTCAGAAATTGAATGTCTCCTTCATCTGACACATATTATCATATCTCACTTGAACTCCAGTTAAGCAGTATTCACACTGACACACCAGATGTCGGAGCACAACTAATATAGGTATGGGCATTTCTGTGACATCAAGGTACAGTAGTAGCACCAACTATTACCTTTACATACAGCTGTCCCATGATTTTTTGCATTTCGGTGTATATTTTGTTATTTATATTAGTTAGCTTTGTTTGTTAGCATTGAAAAGAATATCTCTAATGAAGACAAATATGGAAGATTTTCATTTGAATCTTTAAGTAAAACTTCAGATAAATTTACTTCAGTATTGGACAGGTTTCAGTTGTTTTTTTTTTTTTTTATATAGTAATTACCTGTAATTATAACAAAGGTATACAATTGTTATGCAGAAAAAAATATTTGATAAATGTATATTCAGAATTCTGATCCATTTTTTTTTTTCTTGTACCCCTTTACTTGTGAGATCTATTTGATAAATTTTGGCTATAACCATTGTGCTAAGTAACAATGAAAATCTTCAGCTTTTTCTTTTCTATCCTTTTCCTTAAAACTCTATTAATACTCTGTAGATCAAGGCTCAATTTTACAGATATTACAATTTTGAACACCTTGTTGATCTTTTTACACATTTGTTGGAGTTATATTGGTTTTATTTTCTAAGGAGTTTTATCTTCATTGATCATGTTTTTTTGTTGTTTTTTTAATCTTATTTCAGAGTCCTTATTATGTGAACCTTTTATTGGCTGGCTATGATGAAAAACAAGGACCTGCTCTTTTTTATCTGGATTATTTAGCATCTCTCTCTGAAGTACCCTTTGCTGCTCATGGCTATGGTGCCTATTTCACACTCAGTATCATGGATCGATATTATCGCAAAGGTAACACTATTTTTACTTTTGTTTTCCTTGCAAATTTGTCAAAATTATGTCAATCTTTTGACTTAGTTGATTAACGGGGTTGTGTCATTTGTATACTAATATTGTTAATGACTAGTTACAGAATATGACTTGAGTATAATCTTATAATTTATTATGAACATGTTGCTTAACTTTGATCAAATTGGGTCAATGAGACTTTTTTTTTTATTACAAAGATTACTGAGTAAATTAAAATGCTGGCAAGTATTTTACAATCACCTAGATAAATTAATTTCCCAAGAGCAGAATTTTCAGAAATGTAGCCTTCAATATAGGAAATTGTTTGTTTTTTTTGTTTTTTTAAAAAAAAAAAAAAAAGAAAAGCAGTATTCCACTATATTCTAGATTGTATAAATACAAGAAAACAAAATTGAGTACCTACCATTTTTGTATAATGATCAGCAAATTAGTTCAACACATTACAAGTTCAGTTCTGATTGAGTGCCTCACTTTTGTGATCTACTTAGCTAAAATTGGTATATAACTGGGAACCTATTTGTATGTGTACTATTGTCCTTGTCTTTGTTATCAGAACATTTTGGCCGTTGTGCCTTCTGACATTCATCAGGTGTATATCAATCCAGGTAACCTACAGGGAATTCTAAACTGAACCCTGTAATTTACCCGGATCAATATACACCTGAGGTCACGACCTAGTATAGTGTTGGTTAGAAAGCTAGTCTTGCCAGTGGAGTGAGTATGATCCTTGTTGGGTACTCAGTTCTTGTAGCCCTGTGCCAGACTAAACTCAGTAACTATAAAGAACAACAAAAATGAAAATATCAGTATAAATTCACGAGAACATTAATTCACTATCCCATGTATTGTAGCAAAAATTGATCATCTGAGCTTATCTGGTATCTGTGTTAGTCCTGCCACCAGGAAATAATGGTGCTAGCATGCCACTTACTTCACTTGGAAATCAATAAGCTAGACAGAATTTCTTTTTGACTTTTACTATTACATATTTCTCTTAGTTGCTCAGATGTTCATTTCACCATAAAGGCCTTTCTGCTTCTCAATTACAATCTTTTCTTGTATATAATTGCATTTTGTTCATATCCAGATGGAGATATTTCTTTGAAAATTTTAATCATATATATATATATATATATATATATATCTCCATGATCACTAGTGTCCTGAAAGGTATTGGCATATGAAAGAAGTATCTCTGTCAAACAAAAAAAAAAAATGAATTTCATAGCTGCTTGACTAACATTTTATCTTTTGCTTGCATCTGTCACCAATTCAACATGTTTTTTTTTGTGTGTGGAAGAGGTGGCTATAGCTACATTTTAGTGTCACAAGTTGTATAGCAGGAAGACTGATCAAGAAAAGAACTTTAATGTTCATCTAATCAGTCTGGCAGTCTGTAATATTATTTTAGTACAGATTACTATTTTTCTGATGCATTTACACACTGTCCAATCAGAAATGATTGACACTCTCATTTGCTTCTACTATTGGGAGTTTTAAAGTTGACTATAGAGATTAAACATGAGACAGTTTTTTGTTTTTGTTTTTTTTACCTGGAATATTATAAATTAAACGTTTAGCTAGTTTACTTTTATTCGCATCATGGCAAAAAAAAAAAGAATGAATGAAAATTTTTTTTTTTTTTTTTTTTTTTGACTTTTTAACATAGTACAGAATAAATGAGGTAATTGTTTATATGCTTTAAAAGAACTGCCAGATTTTAAAATATTATTCAAATTTTAACTGTTCATGATGTTTGGTATAAACAATGCTTGGAGAGAGTTTGGTTGGTTTCATTTTTAATTGTTATTGCTTTCTTTATATTCTCTGAATGAACAGATGTAAGAAGTAGTCTTCATTACATTTTGTGGATAATTTAGTAAACTTAATGATTTGTGAAATTTATTTCCTACTTAACATGTTGACATATCGAGGTTAATACGGAAAAAATGTCTTCCAATTTTTGAAAGCCATTGCAAATTCATTAGTATTTATAATTTTTTAATTTGTATTTATTTATTTATGACCTGCATAACATAGAACAAATTTCTATTACTATTCTATCAGTTATTTTTTAATAGAAAATATCTGTAAATCTGTTCAGTATCATCTGTAAGTTGCATCTTATTTGAGTTTTTGTTTTGGTATAGCTAATACATGAAAGTATTATGTTGAAAATTATACTTGAACAATGACTTGTACATCTGTTGCTACTTAATTCATTTCTTTTTCTCTCATTACCTGCTACTTTCATTCATTTTTCTAATTTTTTTTCCCATGATTCCTTTAAATAACTGAGGTCATTATATTACTGAACGGTTTGAGCTTACTTCTACCACCCCCATTTATAAATAATTATACATATTTGCTTTTATTATCCCATAAAAAGATTAGGGAACATGTAATTTAAAGATTGAATACAGAAAATACATATCAATTAGTGCCTGTATAACATAAACAATAATGATTTTTTTTTTTTCTCAATGCAATGTAATAAAGCCATTAAAACACAGTTATGGCGTGTGAGAATATGAGAAAAGAAAACATTAAGGAGCTAGAAAAATAAAAGAACAGGAATTAAGAAGATAATGATTGACATTACATTTAAATTTTTAAAGATTAAAGTTGACTGGGAAGCAAGAATCTAGAAGAGAATTCCTCAAGCGAGAGAAGCTGTTAGCATAGAACTTACGGTTATATCTAGTCATTTCAGCTATAAAATGATGGTATCTTGCTACCTATCTAGTACTGTGCTTAGTCATAAAGTCTAGGTGCCATAGATTTCATTATGCAATAGTAATGGTTGTGTGTTCAATTCTACTCATGAGAGATTGTCCTGTGTAAAACTTACATAACCTAAAAATTTATTAAGCAGTATTATTGCATAGTATTGTATGCTAAATCATATTCTTGTTTTTATTGTATTTTAAAAATAAATAAAACTCTTACAGACTCCATTGTATTGGTAATTAAACATTGATATTAATGCTTGACTGTATTATCAATAGAACAAAGCAATATGCTTGGAATTGTAAAATAGCTTTTAGGCATTTGGTTTTACTGATCTTTGTAGCTTAATGATGAAAAATGCATTTTGCACAAATATTTATTTTTTTATACATCATCTTTGTCAATGTCTTTGATTCAGTAGCAAGCATCAAATATTTGGCAAAAATTTCACATCAAAATTCAGCTTATAACTATGTGTCATAACTTATTGATCTATCCTTGAATATGAGAAATTCTAATTTACTCAACCTTTTTAAAATTCCACATCATTTAAGTATTTGCTTGTTTAAATCAATATAATTATAGCAATGGCAGTTAAGTTCCATCACAAATATACTAGATTCATAGAGTTTTTCAAATTTGTTGAAAGAAAATTGATTTCTAATTAGAACAGTTTTCATCCTAGGAATCAGTCTGTTACTTATCAATTTTTGATAGCTGATATGAAAATAGTTTATAAACTAAACAGTGGAAAAAGGAAAACTCATGAAACAGTCAACTGACATGGTAGTTTAGTGCCAATGCTCTTATCAATCTTATTTCTACCAAAAAGAATCAGAAGTTAATGTAATTATAAAGAATAAAACAAAGAAACATTCTCATTTGGCATGATTGCCTATTTTTTTCATAGATAAAATTTTTGTTTTGCTGATTCAACAGAAACAAATTAATTTGAATTGTACCTTTTAGTTCTAATATAAGGAAATCATCAAATGAGTATGGACAGAAAACACTATTGATTTCTGTTTAGAATTGGAGATCAATTCATTATTCTATCAAATCTGTTTGATTTTTACTCCTTCTGACATTAAGTTGTTTGAAAGTAATATTTAGTAAGAATCATGTTTCAAACTCTTTGATAGGCTCTGGATATGACAATAAACTACATCCAGCAGCAAGGTTTCTCATTGGGAGGTTTTGAGGAGTGTGGAATCACCTATTAATTGCTGTCGTTCCCAGGTCCACTCTGACCCCAGGTGGTAGCAACCATTAGGATTCCAACTATGGGCAAATAGTTTACTCCCAATCTGGGGTCAAAACATTACAAAAGAGTAGAAATACATTTCTGTAGTGAAGGTAATCAGAAATACATTTTCATGATTAAAAAGCTACCAGCAATGCATTTTAAAAAATATAAATTACCAATAATACATTTTCATAAAAGAAATTACTAATACTCCAATCTGTGTTTTTCTTAAAACAATTTCATCCACATCTATTGTAGGACATTAAAATACTACCAGGCATAGTATGGTAAACAAGATGGATTAGAATCTAATTGTTTATATGAGGAAAACTTCACCTACATGCTGTCAGCTTATATGATAAACCTACAATAAACCTGTTTATAGCTAGGATGGTGCCTTCAGGAAAATAATATAGTTTCTCTATACAAACAATCTATTGAAATTAAAGAGAGACACATTTAAACAACTAATAAAAAAATCATAATCCACAAACTATGGATGAAAAGATAATGACTGTGACACGACTGTGAATCCTTACACCATACTATACTTGGGTAGATATGGTGGGTTAATGCAGGTGCTTACATCCACTTTCAGCACAACTATGCCATCTGTGTAGCCCTGGCAGATCAGGGCAAATAGGATTAGTCATCCCCTGATAGCATCTCTTAAGAAGAAACTCTGAGGTGGGTAGGTAGCACAGGCGGCAAATGCTAAAATGAAATTATATTATACTCCTATAAACCAACCAAGAGAATATGAAAACTCCAGTGACAATGAAATATCAGGAAAAAACAATTTCCAGTGTCATAGAATCCTAGTGAAATAATAAGTGTCACCTTTTGTGTTGCAGAAGGTTATATCAGCCATGATAGAACCAAAATCAGTAAAAAAAAAAAAAAAAGAAAGAAAAAAAACAACACTTCTAATTCAACTAAAAACCAATAAAAGTTGCAGAAAATCTAGTAAAGTCAAGCAAATAAATGACATGAAAGTAGAAGCTTA